GTCATTTCCAGCAGAAATATACATTCATCCAACATGCAAAAACAGATCAAACGTCGAACATTAAAGGGAATCTGGAGAGAAACGAAATGGGAACTTAGGGTTGCTATTCAGGCATTCAACCAAAACAAACAAAGAAAAACAGACACACATCCAATTGATTTCAGATCCATGAAATTAAAAAGAAAATGCTTACTTTCATTCGCGATATCAGCCTCAAATACAAATGCAGTACATCAACACAAAGAAATTAAAACAACCATGGCGAAAATTTTGGAAGAAAACAGCTCAGGATCGGAGGGAGGGATCCCACCCACGGGATCAAGCTCCAACCTTTCCTTCACCACCCTCCCCCAAAACTTCCTCTGATCAGAAAGTTTACCTAAGACAACAAAACCCAAGGAAATGCACAGTCTCCTCCGGTGATCTCCTTTCTCTTGCTCTCACCTCCGGTAATCCCAAACTCAGACCAAAAAGAACAATCGAATCAAGAGAACCCTCTTCTCTTTACCGGTCCTTCCTATTTATACCCCCTCAAACAAAACCCTAACTCCCCCCTTTCACTCCTCATCCAAACCCTTCAATTTTCCTTCTTTTTCCTTCCACCGTTGATCGGGTGAGGCCAAAACTGGCCCTGCAGAACAGCTAAGAAAGCTGGAATGTGATGTCATTCTGCAGCAAGGCAATGACATGGTGCGGATATGTCTCATGCTCGGTTGGCTGCAGAGACAAAGGCGCAGCAGCAGGGTCAACGCAGCAGGGGGCGCAGAGCAAGGAAATCTGGGCGTGATCCAGGCGCAGGCTCGGTGCAGCAGGGGCGCAGAGGCGCAAAGGGGAAAGTGCAGGAGTTGGGCGCGGAGTGCAGGAGCAGAAGCGTGCAGGCGCAGCAAGCAGGGTATCTGGGGCAAGGATGCATGGGCGCAGGGCGCAGGGCGCGGGCTGGTTTGGGAAAAAAAACAAATTGATGGGGAAAGAGAAGGTTCCAGACACCTTTTTTTTTTTTTTTTGGGTTTGGTATTTGGGTTTGGATAATTTAGTGGGTTTTGGTTGGGTTTGGGTCTTGGTTTAAATTTGCTGGTGGGCTCAATAATGGGGTTTGGGCTAGATTGTGGGTTTTGGTAATTTTTCATCCTCAGCCTTTCAATTTCTTCGATTGAGTCCTCTTTCTTGAGTTTCTTTTCCAATTTCTTCTTAAATTTATTTTTGCATGTAGTCCCTGAACAAAAATAAAAATATAGATAGCTTAGTTAAATAAAAGGGGAAAATTCATATTTTTATATTTTTGATTTTTTTTTTGGATAAAAATTTGAGTTATGACAAGGAGAAAACTATATTCAAACTTCAAAGGATCGGTTATTTAAGGAATATACAAAATCACAAATGTTCATTCAATAAAAAAGTGATATAATTATAATATCACATAATATTATAAATTTATAATATAATATTTTATTATATAATTAATTACTTTTATTCAAACATTCACAAGTGATATT